CACTGCTCAGTTTAACAAAGTAAGTGCTGATTACAGATTCTCTGTTTTGCCAGATCACCGCTGGAGGTGTGAGGTTTTTCTTGAAGGGCAGTATGTTGCAGCAGGAATTGGACCAAAGAAGATCGTAAAACACATTGCAGCGCAGGAGGCTTTAGCTACACTAAGGCAGACTCAGGCTGTGGTCAAATCTAACTTGAGGAAAGAGGGACACAACGATGCCATATCCCGTTCTCAGATCCTGGCTCACTCAGGGGAGGAGGCCCTTAAGCAGGAGATCAAGGAGGACAATATTGGAAACCAACTGCTGCGTAAAATGGGCTGGAAAGGAGGCGGCCTGGGGCGAGACGGGGAGGGAATTGCTGAACCGATCAGAGTGAAGGAGCAGTTCTCCAGGGAAGGTTTGGGTATGGAAATGGATAAAATGGGAAACCAGCTCAGGAAGCGTGACATTGAGGACATCATCCGTAACTATGCTAGTTCGGACAGAACAGACGACCTCCGTTTCTCTAATGAACTCACTAATGACGAGCGCAAGCAGATTCACCAGATTTCCCAAAAATACGGCCTCCGGAGCAAGTCCTACGGTCAGGGACGGGACCGGTTTCTGGTTGTCAGTCGGAAGGTACACAAGGATCAGCTGATCGGCCAGCTTTTACAGGAAGGACAGGTGGGACGCTACGAGCTCATCAAGCCTCAGGCATCTCACTAAACTGCATGAAATTAAAATGTTCTTCAAGTTGGACTTCAAAGCATATCATCCCGAGGCCCGGATCCGCTCCGGCAGTAACATGTCCTGGCTTTTGATGTGTCCATTTTTATCTGGCATTAGAATCCATCCTGAGCGTGGAGCTGCTTTCCATGCAGGAAAACATGTAGCAACATTGAGCTCTCAGGTGAAATGAAATTTATACAGTTTGAATCAAACATTTGGAGTTCTCTCATCATTAAGCGGTATTGATGGAGTATTTAATCTGTCCTTTTTTGGGTGGAATGATCAATCCTATATCCAACATTAGTGAATTTACAGCTGAACAGCTCAGAATTCTACATATAGGCTCACGTTTCTACCTACATCCTCTCTAACTAGTGGTTATCTTGCTATGAAATCACACTTTCTGCAGCCTTCATTAAACCTTTAACATTGTTCTACTGGGATTATTGACAACGCTTGTAAAACTTGGTCAAGGTCATTAAAATCTGCATCTTTCCTGCCACTGAACAGACCGTTGAGCATATTTTAAATGGGATGAGCTTTTTACTGACTATCCATTCGAAACCAGCTTTGTGTGTTTTGGGTTATTGTCTAAAACAAACCACACATTGTGTTCAGGACCTAAACTTTCCACCTTCAATTAAATATTATTGATTAGGGAGTTTAGAAAACAACCCCCCCTTTAACTTTAAGCATCATGCGAAGAAACTAGAAATAGAGGAAGCTCCGTTCTTCAACTTTGTTTTAATAGCTATGTGCTTCGATCCTTGACAATGATCCCACCAACACTCAGATCCTAAAGCAGACTAATGTCAAGTTTCTGGAATGGGCCTGACCACGGCTTTATTAAGAATTTATAGACTAAGCCTAAAAGCTAGGTCAATGCCAGGAAACACTCCAATTTTTCTAATCAGAGGATTGATCAAATATCCAGCCGGCATCAATGCTGAAAGGTTGCTGAAAGCTGCCAAGTCTGAGATTCCTCTGCAACTTTATGATAGGAGCTCAGCCAAGTATTCATTTATTTTTATTTTTTTTACATGAGCCTAAATGTATGTTTGAACAAATCACACTATTAAAAAGTTCAGAAAAACAAATTAAACTAATTGTATTAAGCGTGCAGTCCAACCAATTTTTACTGAGAGGGATTCCAGCAGGTAGTTTATCACTTTTCACTGAAAATGTTTCTCTGAGAGAAACCAAACGGTTCTGAGCACCAGTGTCCAGATGTGAAGGGATCCGCCAGGAAAAATGTTTATTAACCTGCCATTTCTATTTGTTTGGGACATATCTGCAAAAAAGGGTAGTTTGATAGAAAATATGTATGACTGAAGTTTTGTTTTTTACACATTCATGTCATTAGAAGACTGTAGGATTTGTAGTCTTTGTCTCCAGTCTTTCTACATCTGAACTTGTCAGCGCCCTGTGGGATTTTTTTCTGTTATTTTCAACTCAAGTAGCTCTTTGGACGTCACTATTTGACTGTTTAATGAACCTGGCAGAAAATGCAGCTTTTCTTTGGAGAAAATGTAAACAGTTAACTCATGTAAGCCTGGATTAAGCCTTCCTGTAGTTAATTCATAACCGCCTTACCATGACAATGCATCTGTATTCAGGAATATTTGCTTTTATTTCAGTAACGGATCATCGATGATCTCAAAAGACTTTATGGAAACATCCGTGGTCCTAATTGTTAAACGGTTGTCTGAGTGCACTTAACATGTTTGCTTGATTTCACAGATGTAACTACTAAATAAATTGGGGGGGGGGGGCTGAACTTAGTTCAAATAAATACATGTTTATGTAAATTAGCACATTTTTGGAAAATTGATTTATTCCGGTACTTTCATTTAAAAAGTTCACTGGCTTTTACATCTTTTCTTTTAATCATGGCTAATGAAATCCCATTTCCTTAAAAAATACTCCTTTTTTTTGGTAATCTTAATACAGAGACATCAGCCTATAGAAAAGCATGTCACTAACCTTCATGTTGCATGCATGAATAGTTGCATCAAAGCACTGCAGCATTGAGATGATCAACCAGTGGAACGTACAGTTGTGTTCGAAATAATAGCAGTGCCTCAACAGCAGCAAGAAAATCACTTGTTTTATTAACATTTCAAACTCTATACCCCAGATAAGTTTCTGGGGGGTAAAATAAAGGTATAGAAAACCAACAAACCCAACAGGACAGCCATGCATACTGTGGATTCTGTGAAATTGAATGATTAACTGAAAAGGGTGTGTTCAAAAAAATAGCAGTGGTGAGTTCAATTAGAGAGGGCATCAATTAGGGAGGGTATTCTGGGAAAAAAGGGTGTTAACAGGGGATCCGTATTTAAGGATCAAGACAACTGGCATGCTGGCTGTGCATTTGTCCTGAAAAAACAAGGAAAATGGGTCTTCAAGACACTGTTCTGAAGATGAGCGTTTCCTAATAAAAAAATTGATTAAAGAAGGGAAAACATACAAAGAGGTGCAGAAAATCATTGGCTGTTCAGCTAAAATGATCTCAAATGCCCTGAAATGGGAGCAAAAAACTGAAAAACGAGGAAGAAAAAGAAAGACAACCCCTCGAATGGACAGAAGAATAGCCAAACTGGCGAAGACTCAGCCAATGATGGGATCCAAGAGGATCAAGCAAGACCTTCAGTTGACAGTGAGTACTGTGACAATCAGAAGACGTCTTACTGAGGTTAACCTTCCAGCAAGAAGCCCCCGCAAAGTCCCACTGCTGAGAAAAAGACATGTGCAGAAGTGTTTACAATTTGCCAAAGAGCACATTGACTGGCCTGAAAAGAAATGGCATAATATCTTGTGGACAGATGAAAGCAAGATTGTTCTTTTTGGGTCTAAGGGTCACAGGCAGTATGTAAGACGCCCTGCAAACACAGAATTCAAGCCACAGTACTCACTGAAGACCATTAAGCATGGTGGTGCAAGCATCATGATATGGGGATGTTTTTCATACTATGGTGTTGGTCCGATTCACCGCATACAAGGGATCATGGATCAGTTCCAGTACATCAGGATCCTGGAAGAGGTCATGCTGCCATATGCTGAGGAGGAAATGCCTTTGAGGTGGACCTTTCAACAGGATAATGACCCCAAACACACCAGCAAGCGAGCAAAAGCATGGTTCCAGATGAACAAGATTCAACTGATGGAGTGGCCAGCACAATCCCCGGACCTTAATCCCATTGAAAACTTGTGGGCTGACATAAAAAGTGCAGTGCATGAGGCAAAACCAAGAAACGCTGAGGAATTGTGGAATACAGTGCAATTATCCTGGGCTGCAATACCTGTGGAACGATGCCAGAAGTTGGTTGACTCCATGCACCACAGATGTGAAGCAGTCATCAGAAACCGTGGTTTTGCAACAAAATATTAGTTTAGGATACTCAGCTAGGTTCACTTATCAAGAATTTCTTTGTTTGTACAGTACATTTTTGAGTTTCCAAGGAAAGATGGCAACACTGCTATTCTTTTGAACATGCCATTTCTTACTTTATTTGAAATATTATTATTTAAGTTTTGATGACTTTGCGCAATTGTTTTGCTTTGGAATAGAATGTACTGTGTCCCCAATGTATCTGTGTTCATTAAAGTACAATTTCTTTGAAGAATTTTGACATTTACTCATTTTTCTAAAGGCACTGCTATTATTTCGAACACAACTGTATAAGGTCTAAAGAAACTCAGGTTTAGGTCTTAAGCTTGTCTACATTCTACTCATCTTCCTCTGATCATGTGAGCAAGCTGGCTAATCAGATATCTTTTAACCAAAACATTAAACTCGTGTTCGTTCAGATTGTTGGAGCTGTTTGCAACTGGAGTGAAAAACTCATCTGAAATAAGGAATTAAACCAGCTTATTTTAATTGTCACCTTTTCATTTTTTTTAATGTAGTGTATCACATGGATTACCAGTGATAGATTATGTAATTTGAAAAGACCATTTGTGGAAGGGTGTGCAGATATGATAGGATTGTGAAATGGCACAATTGTTTGCACAAGATCTGACCCATAAAAAAAGTACAGGTATGCCTAACTGTAATCAATATTTATGAAACTTTAAGGTGACAGGATGCTAAAATCTCAATATTTGAGGAGGGGCATTGATAATCCTCCATAAGCATATGGTTTATAATTAAAAGGTGTGGCTGTGCAAGAAAATGTAAAAAATAAGACTCCAAGAGGTTTAGAGTAATTAAGGAATATTTCCATTATTTCAGCAAATTCTTTATACCATTCCTTTTAATGTGCAGACAAAAGTATTTTTTTTGTCATTTTGGGAAGATTGAAAAAGAAAAGCTTTATTTCTGTAAATATAAAGTGGCAGTATTTACAAACCAAACAACAGCCTTCCATATAGTTCAGTTGGTACTTGATGAATTACCTAGCAGAGAGGTCATGTTTGAGAAAATGAAAAGCGATTAAATATCAAAATAAAAAGGCATATGAGAAGTAACCCAGAAATAACAAGGTACATTAGCTTTCAGCTCTGCTTTCAAATGACAGAATCCAGCAGCAGTGAATGCCACATGACTACAGCATACAAACTGAGCAACGGTAAGAGGGACAAAATATACTGGAGGATCTTTTAAGTTGCGCTGTGACTGTTTCTGATGTCTTGATTATGGTTTTCTAGATTCTGTGGTGCACACTGTTCGTACGCCGGCGACTCGCCGTCAACAGTCACGCCAGCTCTGTTCAACAATAGCAGAAACCCTCTTCTCATATTCCCGCTTGTTTTCCTGGTAAAGCTGGGCTGCTTGGCTGTTGGCTGGACTGTTTGGGTTTGGCTCGTCCAGTAAAGACTAGATAATGAACAGAGAGCATCATCACAACAGGCTCAACATACTTAATGGTGTCATAGCAGGTTATGAGCTTTTATTAACATCAAGTTGTTTTACCTGTATTGAAGTTAAGATTGAAGAAACATCATAGGTTGGACTCCAGCGATTCTGAAGTATATCTAAGCATATGCTACCATCTGCGTACACTGCAAAGTAACAGTACATTTAGCACTCTGAGGGTTGCTCTAAGATTTAAGAATACATTTCATTTCAACATACCGTTAGGATGAAACATTTTGGAGACAAATCTCACTGTTGGAGGTTTATTTGGATATTCTTCTGTGAATTCAATGGTAAGTTTGAAGGTTCCTGAAAGGAAGAAATAAAAAAATGGTGAATGAAATATTACTGTAAACAAGTCATGCATAAGAGCCGAACATACGATACCAACTTTATCTATGTAACCCAGACTTGTATATCTACATTTATAAACGCTCTATTCTGCTTACAGGTATAAATGATAGTAAATTTAACTCAAAAGCAAATCATAAAAAAAAAAGCAAGAAGAGAATGCATTTTAAGATCGATTAGTTATTAAATACATACCATCTTCAAAAGGTGTTCCCTCTGGTCTAAAAAAAAAAAAAAAGATCAAATAGGTTATAAATCATTTTGCAAATGTCTGCTAAACTAGTTATCAAAAGGTTAAGACATGATGGTAATAAAAATGAATTTTCCTCTAAAGGCAGCCTTTATTACCCCAGCTTATTACATCATATAACAGTTACATAAAAAAAGTATTACGCCACACAGAAGAAACAAAGTTCAGTAGAGGTCGTTGACTATCCTCCGCCCTTTGTCATTTATTCTCGCTGTAGAACAAAACACTTCATAGAGTTTGGAAATCGGCTTAACTTATGAATCCAAGGCATCTCAATCGTTTCATCCGTTCAACATGCTATCACTCTACAGCAGGACATATCAACATGTCTAAAGCTTATCAGTTGCTTAAAATCCCTCTTGAATCAATTAATATCTCACATTTTAGCTCAACGTATTGAAGCAGAACAGTCTGATTGTTAGTTAATATAAATACTAAAGAACTACAGGCTTAAAATTGACTATCAGCAAAAAATACACTTTTTATGGTTGATATACTGATCAATTTTCTAGAAGGATACCAATTTCTGGTTCTCTTTAGGTCTGCAGATTATCTTGTTTTATTCAATGAACTTTTCCCGATAAAACTATTTTTTTATGGAAGTTCTTTGATGAGGATGCAAGAGAAAGTTGTTTTAAAGTTTACTTAATGAGAGGCCAGAAAAAAGATGTTAAAACAACCAAAGTTTAGAGAGTGCCCTATAACCAAAATCACTGTTTTTGAAAGAAAATTCAGTAGTTTAGAAGTATTTTTTGCTATAAACAACATAGCCTGTCAGAAACTAAAACAGTTCAGCTATCCACTCTTATTAAAGTTACACCTTTTAACACACTAGAAACCATTTAAAGCAACATTCTTAAGAAGGTTAGCGGTTATTGGAAAGCTTTGCTGAAGTCTTTGTATTCAAATTAAGAACAGATGACAAATGTTATACATAATTTTTTACTGAAGTATTCAGCATTTTAAATATTTATTTTTGCAATAGTTGAAAAAATGGAAGTAAGTGAATTTACATATTTTGAACTAAAATATCCTCTTCTGTACAATGTACATTGTTTTGCTGTTCATTTGTTTTTAAGCCCATAAAAATGTTGATTTATAGGCTTTGTTTACTTTTTAGGTCTTTCCAGAGAAAACTGGCAGATTGATTGGTGCTTTTCTACTTTTTAGAATCTGTAGAATCTGTTACCCAAATATTTGATGTGACACACGTACCCAAAAATGATTGCATTCCAAACCATGATATTGTTTTCTGATGGCGATCCACTGACTCCAGCTGGAGGATCCTCTTGCAGCCTGAAGGCAAACACAATGACATCTGAATAATTTCATCTGGAAAGCAAAGCAGTTACTGCTGCATGAATATTAAAGTGAAATTTATGATGAAGCTTCTAATGCACAGACATTATGTCAGAGAGTTAAACTTAACAACCATTGTAAGACAGGCTTTTGAAGAGACTAATATAAAATAAACATTACTATTCAGCCGTGCACAGTTGCTGCTTCAGCTCTAACCATCTACCGACCTGCCTACTTACCCACCTACCTACACTAAGTGTTTTTCTTATTGCTGTTGGCAGTTACCCAAAATGTCATTATTTGAATCCAAAACCTCACAATAAGCGGATTTTTTATTACATCAACCAAATATTTCTTCTGTTAAATGAATCGGGTAGGTGCACACCAGAAAGCCACTGGTTAGATACAAGAATAGAGGCTTAATTAGCACACACAAGATCCAGATTTCATTCAACTCCAACTAATAATATCTGCCCTAATTTGAAGGCGTTTCCTTTTAATTTGAATGAACACATTTTATTTTTCTTTATTATGTTTTAAGACAGGACATGATCTTTCCCTTTTTTAATAATTAACATTAGGGCTGCAGAATATATATAAAAAAACTGTAATAGCAATCAACTACTAACATACACCTTTACTTAATATTTATTTCTTGTATACACCGTTCATTTATGCATCTTAATTTTGAACTTCTTTATGTAGATATAGAACTGTCAGGTTTTAACAGAAGAACATCAAAGATCATCAAATCCACTGTGGGTCAAACTGGATTAGATCACCAAAATGTGCTCGTTAAATGGAGCATATGTAGATTAACTTTGTGCCGTAGATATATGTGCTTAGATGTGAGCAGGTGTTCAGACTCCACATGACAGATGGTTGCTGATCCTCAATCTTAACCAATGATCTATCATGGCCCGGGGATAGTATAGAAGCAGCAGGACAGGTCTACCTAAATCTCTTCCTCCATCTGGCCCTCAATCTTGAACTACATCCGCTCCACACACGTTTTACACTGATCATATGGGTTTCTCACTTTACATATTTTCTCACGCACCTTCTAAAGCGATTACCGTTACAGAAATTACACAATCTGGACGTTACAACCGCTCGGTTTGCTTACGCCGGTAGAATCGGACCTGTTGGTAAACGTTCAAACCAAATCCTCAAACTCTTAAATGTCATAAAAATAAAAACAATAATATCTGTATTAAATATTCAGTTTTAAATTAGCCGACCTTCATCGATCTGTTTCAATACTACGTTATTTCCGTGGTAGTTGTCAGTTGAGCTAATGCTAAACATTAGCTTCAGAATGCTAACGTTAGCGTTGTTTTCCTTTCACATACCGTTTAAAGTCTCTCATTAAACGTCGTCGTGCCGGAGTTGACATTCTGCTAAGGCGAAAAACGAATTCCTCGACAAATAAGCGAGGGATGTAAAAGATAATGAATGTTTCCTAAGATGTTATTTTTTATCAACTCCTAGCTGACCAGCAACGGTCTCTATTCTGTACTAGTTCGACAAATACTTGGCTGACTCTCGTCTGCGGGCGATACCATTTAGACTTCCGCGGGTAGACTTTGTGTGAATATACCTGACAATTAAACGATTGTATGGGGCAAACACAAACAAAAGTTTAGCATGAATAAATTAGGATAATTTGGATTACATTATTTCTTTTGTTAGATAGATTAAGCTCATTATAAGTTGAACTATAGTATTTTAAAATTAGTTGAAGAACCCCATCTTGCAACTTCAGTTGCTCCGCATAAATTATGTCATATGTTTGCTTCCATGTTTCGTTTTTTGTTGGGGAAGCAAAAAACAAACATTCTCCTACCGCCTTTGACGTTTTCTTTCTGTTTGTCCTCAATTGAAATTGTTGACATTTAACCTTTTCAACTTGACACCATTTACTCTAAGCATAATAAAAAAGGCAAATTGTTCTAAAAGACACGTCTTTAGCTTTTAGGTGTAGTACCAGTGAGAAACCACAAGATGGTGGTGGGCCCCATGTACTTTGCATTGTTCCTTGCCAGTTAAAGTAGGTTATAGAAATACTTTTCTAAAACCTACATTTATCTGTGGATTTAAATGTGGATTTCTATTTTCTTTGTCAAATGTGATATTAAAACTTTCTGTTTTCACGCAATTTCAGGGGAAATTCCTCATAACAAACAGAAAAAGAACCCTACATCTGACCGATATTACTCAATATGACGTTACTTCTCGAGTGAAATTCGCAGCTGTCCCATATGGTCTAGCGGTTAGGATTCCTGGTTTTCACCCAGGCGGCCCGGGTTCGACTCCCGGTATGGGAACTCATCTTTTGAATTTTTTGTTCTTACATTTAATTTCACTGTGACATCGTATGTCTAAAACAATAAATAAAACAATTTACCCGTTATATATTAGTGAGGTAACATGTATATGTTTTCCTCAAGAAAACAACGTAGACCCCGCCCGTTTAGGAATGATCGTGTATTACCCTCATGAGTGTAGACATTCCCGGAAGATGCACATTACCACCAGTTGTTTCTCCCTATGCCAAATTCATCAGTCGGCGCAGTACAGGCGAGCAAAGCTAGCAAGAGCGAACAATTTTCGTCCTATTTTTAAATATACACCTCGTCTGGTCTATTCGATGTTAAGATCTCTTTTATGACAAACTATCCCTCCTTTGTATTTATATATTTTTTTAAGACATCTGACTTCATTTTGACGCTGAACCTGTCCAGGCTGGCCAACTTCCAGTCTTTTTGCAGAACTTTGCTGTGGGGCCAATAATTTCTCAGGAAAATGTGACTGCCTGCTAGGAATTCCCCACGCATCAGCAGCCAGTGTCGGAGCAAAAACCGCGACCTTGTGTCGGGAAGCAGACGAAAGCAGCAGGGAGAGGGTCAAAACCTGACGGCTGCCTGAGCGATGATGTAGCTTTACCGTTACAGCCCCCCGAGTCGCATCTCAAGGGATCATTATGTATTTGGATTTTTCTTGGGGAGAGCCGTTAAAGTACTTGGAAAAAGCGACAACTTGTGTTTTATAGATGGCATCTTTCAGCAGGGTAAGTGCAAACATACTTTATGTGCAGTATATGCATATAACTGCTGGGGAGTTAATCTGTATACGTTTAGTTTTTAAAGATTTTTTTGGTCAGGAATGTCAAAAGAAGTCTAACGGCTGAAGACAGTGCTGCAGTTTTTAAGTTAAAGTTACAAACTTCTTTTTGCTTATTTTTGCTATATGTGAAGGACTTTCCCCACACTCCTCCATAGACTACAGTGACTCCCCTTTGTGTCAGTCAGCTGGCTAGGGGTGGGTATTGGCAAAGAAGTCACGATTCAATTCAAATCACGATTCAAATGCCACGATGCGATTCTATCACGATGCATCATGATACTTGAAATATTGCGATGCATTGCGATATTTTCACTTGAAATGTGATGGAGCCACGGAGCGAATTTTCATAGTGTCCTCCATGTTTTATTTCATATGACCTGTCGCAGTATCCCACGGCCGGAAATGCTTGTGACACAAGGCAGCGGGCGTCAACACATCTGCAGCGACATCTGCTGGACTGGAAGTTGAATTCCACTTGGTTTGGCTGATGTGCGCCACCCATTCATGTATTTTATTTGTTCATTTTATTTTATTTTTTTTTATAATCGATTCTTGCCTTCAAGAATCGATTCAGTAGATCACAAAAATTAGAATCGCGATGCATCGTCATGACGATTATTTTGCACACCCTTAGCTGGCATGTGACCACACTGGGACCACGCTGGAAAGTGTCTTTGCACTTCTCCCTGCAGTCACAAGCTACAGAACAAGAGCTAAGCTGTTCTTTCTCCATCTGTCCTTTATTTGAAGGGATTGTTTTGTTTTGTTAAGATAAAAATACGGTTATGCTGACTAGGTCAGAGGCAGTGCTTCTACTTTAATCCCCCTGAAACCTTTCCACATTTTATTTTCTTATAACCATGACCTCTGGTGATTTGTAATGTTTTACAGTTTTATGGGGTACTAGCTTGTTTAGCATTTTTTGGAATTTTCTGGGAAGTTTTAGATCTATTTTTCCTATTTGTTCTCATATATTCCTTTTAAATATCAAAAAGGTGAAAATCTACCCTGATAAGTCATCTGAATTGTTAATAAAGTTATACCAATCCTAGTTTAATAATGATATTAATACAACTGTGTGTCCAGATTTTTATTTATTTTTTAAAGTTGGGGAAGTCTACTAATGTTGGCATTAATTGGAGAAAAAACTGGGTTAGAAGTCTGGCATTTTGTTGGGGATAGAGGTACGAACCTGCAGACATAACTCTGTAAGAGTCTGTCAAACATGATGAGGGTATTTGTGAAGGAAAACGGCAAGCTGGAGGCTTCTGATTCTCTTCTAACTCTTATTAAAGTACTTCTGGCATTATGCAAACAATAAAACTGTGCCTGCATTGCCGACATTAAGTAAACTCCAAGGTTTAGGGATCAAACTTACCAAGATATTGCTTTCCTTAAAGGTATTGATCATAGACAAAGTAAAAATCGTACCACTAAGCTTGGTAGTGGCAGTACAGTACTGTGGTTGTTTTCTTCTTGTTTCAAGCAAATAAATGAAAGCTGGTTGTTTTCATAGGAAAAATGGATGGATTGAAACTGTCTTATATTGGAATAAGGTGCCCAAGAAAATCTTGCAATAAACGACATTGAAGTTTGTTGTTGCAGCCTCAATAAAGTATGAAAAAAGTAGATGTTCTATATTCATGTGGCTAAAAAAGCAAAAAAAAAAAAACCTATTCATAGCCACTGATGACGCATCATATTCCAGTTGTTCCATTAGATCATTCCAGGCTAAGCTTATTAACTAAAATTGGTGAAAACCAACATAGATGAGCCACAGTAACTTAATTTGTGACTTGATTACACCTTAATGAGCACCAGTGTGAGTAAATGCTTGATGTTCTCTTCAAATACATCCCTGTATTTCTGGACAGGATTGTGTTTCTTTTTTTTTTTCTTATACTGTTCATCCACCCGAATCCGTTGGGAGTCAAAATGTTTGCCAGATGTTTACATTTTTGGGGCTGAGATGCTTGTATCTGGGGACGGACAAACACCGTCTCATTGGCTGGCCAGGATTGCTCACTTTAGAGCAGGCAGCCGTGACGCAGAGGGAAGAGAAGAGAGCTAAAAAAATGTTCGTTTTTAGCGTCCCACCAGAGAGAGGACCAGCAGTCCGACCCGCCGGCCCTGCACAGACCCTCCCTTTCCGTCCGTCTCTCTGAAGTCCTCCCATTGTGGGAACACTGGCAGAAGCTGGTGGATAATTGGAAACTTCAGTCCCCTGAAAACAATTATCAAGATTTTCCAAATATACTCCAGCATGAAGTCATCCTGTTTGTTTCAAAGGTTTGCCCTTGTTTTAGGAACATCTTGCCACACTGCTGCCCACACATCGGCCCCTCCTTCACCCCATTCCTTTCTGCTTTGATAGCTTTTTAGTTTGGAGTAAAGGAGCCTCGCTGATACGGACCAGCACAGGGTGTGTGTGTGTTTGTGCTTTGAGGCCAGAGCAGTTCCCGGTATCCTCCTTATTCTGGCACCGTTTTGTCTTTGGCAGCAGTCTGAGCTGCTCAGGCTTGCTCTGATGACCAAGGACAACAACTTTTCATGAAGGACTCCTCAGACATCAGACACCTCTTCTTGCTGAAGATGTACCCGCCCGTCTTAATGGGCCTCGATATTGATTCAACTCCACAAAAAGAAGAACTGGGCTATTATCCCATGTAGGAGGCAGCACTCCAGTTCCACAAATGCTTTCAGAGAAGCATATAAGAGATTGGAAATCCTACAGCTTTTCTTTCTTTTTTTTTTGCAAGTTGGCATGTTGATCATTTTTGAAAATATACAGACGTTCCTGTTTCTGTGCCTAGAATTTTTTTATCTCACATTTTTAATACAGTTGTCTGCAACTTCTTATAAACTAACTGTATTATTGAAACAAAGATATTGAATGTATTCATCAGTATATATTTAATGCATTTATTTCTGTTCATTTTCATGTTAGGACCTACAAAGACTGTTGTTTTGATTAGTTGTCTGGCAGATAGTATTTGATATCCTCCGCATGAGGGTTACGCCTTAAAGGGTTATTGCAATAGAACTAGCTGTTTGCACATCTGTTTTTTAACTGTCTAACAGCCATTTTTTAAAAATGTTTACTGTACGATTTACACTATTTGTTTAGAGAGAGCTGTTTGGTAAAACATAAACAGCAAAAACAATAAAACAAGGTACTAATTAATTGTCATTAATCCATTATTTAAATAATTGTCAAATAATTTATTAGTCGATTAATCGTTAACTGGAATATAGAGATTCTAAGACATGCCTTTAGCCTACAGAGCGACCCACCTCGAGCAGCAATTATACCATGATTTAAAGAAAGAAACAAAAAAATTTTAATATTTTGCATTTAAGTTAAAAAAAACTTTTTTGTCTGCCAATATGCTCTACCCAGAGCTCCTCAAGTGGAAAAGTTTTAGTTTCACCTGGTTTAATTTTGTTAAAAGTATTTTTTCAAGAATCTTTTGCTATTTGATTATTAATCGATTAATTTGAAAAATAATCTACCAATTAATCAATTTGCTAGATAATTGTTTGCTGCAGCCCTAGTACTAATTGCTTTCCTGCAGGACACAACATCAAAAATACTGCCTCATCGCACTAAGGGGGGTAAATTAAAATAAGACCCAATAATGAAGAGAGTTCATATATTGTACAGGATTTTTTTTAACTTGAACTTGCACAATAAATAAATGATTCCCAGAACATAACTTTTAAGGGTTTGGTCACCTATAAGCCATTATCATACAAATTGCCAGAAAAAGACAATTTATATATCTCACTCTCTCTGTAATTAAGCTATTTGATTCATGATTGTAGCTGTTTCAATCAAAATACTTAAAAAAAAAGGAAAAAACAACTACAAAAAACTTTGTTGGTGTTTTGTTTCACGATGAATCTGTATTGTCCTTATCCATGTGAGAGCAAGTGCTGTTCGACATCTTTAGAATAACCACAAGATGGCAATGTTCATATGCTTTGACTGCTAAAAAACAGTCATGAGATGGCTGAAGCCTCAACTGACATGCAGAGAGGTAGGAAGTGCCTTGTGAAAAGAGAAACAAAACTATTGAACTTCCCCTTTCTACGTGTTAAAAAAAGTACCCTTTGCTGGCGTTATTTCTGTTGAGAGCAAGGAGGGGAAATGATGTTTGAAAAGTTCCCTAATTGCAGCTTGCTGTTAGTTCACTGTGAGCCTTTTTCTTTTTTCTCTCACCTGACTATCACCTTGTCAGACATGTTTGATTGTTAAGCAGCAGCAGAAAGGCGCTGTGACTGAACATGACGTCAGAGAGAAAGGAGCGAGAAGGGGAAATTCCACCTGTGGCCTCATCCTGCTGCCGTCTCACCAGCATGTGACACAGACCACTCACTTATAGCACCGGTTGCTCCATCAATCCCTACCTTGTTATGATGTAATTGTGTAAAAGCACTGAGGGCTATTTTTAGTAGGAAAGGGGTGGAAAAATTGACTTGCGTTGTAGGTATTGGATCCTGAGTGTAAAGAAAAGGCAAAGTTTTCTTTTGTGAGGTCACAGGGACTTTCCTTTATGGTGAAATCAAATCATTGTAAAATAAAGTCAGATCATTTCACTTTACTTTTAGATGAAGAAGAGTAAGCTTTGTTTTCGTCTTTGGGTATGAAGAGATGTTGTCAGCAACAATACGAGTAGCTAAACACAAAATAATTAAAAGGATCAACAAATATCTAACACATATTAGCCATACTGAAAATATACAATGTCCAAAAGTGTAGACTAATAACCCCTATGTCTGTAATGAATATGCAAAGCTACATCTCATTGAGAAAAAATATATAATAATGGCACACAATTATTTATGTTATTGTGTCAAATTGCTTAAAAACAAAACAAGGTTACCGTCTCTTTAAGGCTGACCTCAATTCTGATTGGCCGGCTTCTGGAAGGCTTCAAAGGG